GGGGGGGGGGGGGGGGGGGGGGGGGGGGGGGGGGGGGGGGGGCAGTGGTAACGAGCATAGTACATCACCTGTGCCGGGTGTTGGTGCATTTAAGTCGGCGGCCATGCAGAAGCACTAGAAACAGGACGAGGTTGTGTACAAATCGACGTCACTAGGATGTTTTTTCTGTTGTGCACGCATTTGTTTTGAACTATCCATTCGTGAAATCGCCACCCATCGTAAACAAGCATGAGCACCGAACACACCAATACGTCGGCATTTCCTTTTTGCTTGCACCAGTGCCACGAGTTGTCCAGGCATGCGCGTCCGACAGCATGTGTGATCCTTCCGTAATTTTATCATGAAAAACATGAAAGGCCCACTGGATCGAGCGTCATTGATGCGCGAAGGCTCATGAACGCTTCTTTGGGTGTGCACCGCCAGGTACAAGAATTCGCAGCACGAGAAGCAAGCCTACGTGGGGCTCCGGCGGGGCGCCGTGAGGGGTACCTGCTCCCCAAAGGGGGCCAGCTGGCAAGAGAAATTTTTTCCTGGTGAGCAGGGAGAGCAAGTCTGACACCAAGTGAAACTTCGTTGGTGAAATGGAAGTGTGTCCGCGTGTGTTCCATTGATGGACCGGAGCCAAATGTGGTTGTTCGGTATTGCTGGCGCGGTTTTTTAGAGAGAGTTGGAGTTGGCATCAATTGCACTCTCGGATGACCTGGGTGATGCGCCTGGTTTCCACGCTTTTTCACCCCCCCGTTCCCCTCCGTCCCCCCCGGTGTTTACCATCGGGGTTGGGCTTTCGTCGCTTGGCAACGACGTTGTAAAACGAGTCCCCCCCCCCCCCCCCGATGTTTGCCATCGGGGTTGGGTTTTCGTCGATCGGCAAGGACGTTGTAAAACAAGCCGCCCCCCCGTCCCCCCGCAATCTAGACTTAAGTGTGTTGGCGCTGTTGGCAAAGCGCTGTACAACACGCCATCCCACATGTAGCCCCCAAAGTATGCGCTACCAAAGACGCGTGACGCATGGATGCGTGGAGTGAGCATTGCTTACGGAAACCTCACAGGTTGAGTGATGTAGGAGATCGCCGGACACGTAGACGTGTTGAGTGATTATGGCTGTATTCTGAAACCCCAAGGGTTGAGTGAGGTTTGAGATTGCCAGACACATGGACGGGTTGAGTGGGGATAGCTGCATACTGAAACCCCACGGGTTAAGTGATGTTGGAGTGCCGGACACATAGACGCGTTGAATGAGGATAGACACATATTGAACCTCACAGGTGATTTGTAGTGGAGATTGCGAGACACCTAGACGTGTTGAGTGAGGATAGCTGCATACTGAAACCTCACAGATGCATTGCTTTTTGAGTTTGCCAGACACATAGACGCGTTGAGTGGGGATAGCTGCATACTGAAACCTCACAGGTGGATTGGTTTTTGAGTTTGCCAGACACATAGACGTGTTGAGTGAGGATAGCTGCATACTGAAAACTCACAGATGCATTGGTTTTTGAGTTTGCCAGACACATTGACGCTTTGAGTGGGGATAGCTACATACTGAAACCTCACGATTTGAGTGATGTTGGATAGTGCCGGACACATAGACGCTTTGAGTGAGGGAAGACACATACTGAAACCTCACAGGGTGATTTGTATTGAAGATTGCCGGACACATGTTGAGTGAGGATAGCTACATACTGAAACCTCACAGATGGATTTGTTTTTAAGTTTGTCAGACACATAAACGCGCTGCGTGGGGATAGCTACATACTGAAACCTCACGAGTTGAGTGATGTTGGATAGTGCCGGACACATAAACGCTTTGAGTGAGGAAAGACACATACCGGAACCTCACAGGTGATTTGTATTGGAGATTGCCGGACACCCAGACGCGTTGAGTGAAGATACCTGCATACTGACACCTCAAAGATGGATAATTGGTTTTTGAGTTTGCCAGACATGTAGACGCGCTGCGTGGGGATAGCTACATACTGAAACCTCACGAGTTGAGTGATGTTGGATAGTGCCGGACACATA